TGACACTGTCTAACCATCTCATCCTTTGCCGTCCCCGTCTTCTTTGACCTTCAATCTTTCCCAGCATCAGGGTCTTCTCCAGTGAGTGCTCCCTTCTCATTTGGTGGCCAAAGTATTTGAGCTTCAGTTTCATTATCTGGCCTTCCAGGGAACAGTCAGGGTTGATTTCTTTGAGGATTGACTGATTTGTTCTTCTTGCAGTCCAAGGGACTCTCAAGAGTCTTCTCCAGCACCATAGTTCAAAAGAATCTATTCTTCGGCGCTCGGCCTTCCTTATAGTCCAGCTCTCGCAGCCATACATGACTACTGGGAATACCATTGCTTTGACCATGCGGACTTTTGTTGGCAGGGTGATGTCTCTACTTTTTATCATGCTGTTTAGGTTCGCCATCGCTTTCCTCCCAAGGAGCAGGCGTCTTTTAATTTCATGGCTGCAGTCACAGTCTGCGGTGATCTGGGATCCCAGGAACGTGAAGTCTGTCACTACTTCCACAGCTTCCCCTTCTATTTGCCAAGGAGTGATGGGGCCGGATGCCATGATCTTAGTTTTTTTGATGTTGAGCTTCAAGCCCACTTTTGCGCTCTCCTCTTTTACTCTGAGCAAGAGGCTCTTTAGATCCTCTTCACTTTCAGCCATTAGAGTGGTATCATCTGCATATCTGAGGTTGTTGATCTTTTCCCCAGCAATCTTAATTCCCGCTTGTGATTCATCCAGGCCAGCATTTCGCATGATGTACTCTGCATATATATTAAATAAGCAAGGTGACAGTATACATCCTTGTCGTACTCCTTTTCCTATGCTGAACCAATCAGTTGTTCCGTATCCGGTTCTAACTGTCGCTTCTTGGCCCTTATACAGGTTTCTCAAGAGACATGTGAGGTGGTCTGGTACTCCCATCTCTTTAAGGACCTGCCATAGTTTGTTGTGATCCACACAGTCAAAGGCTTTAGCATAGTCAATGAAGCAGAAGTAGATATTTTTCTGGTACTCTCTTGCTTTCTCCATAATCCAGCGAATGTTGGCAATATGATCTCTCGTTCCTCTACCTCTTCGAAACCCAGCTTGTACTTCTGGTAGTTCTCTATCCACGTACTGTTGAAGCCTAGCTTGTAGGATCTTGAGCATGACCTTGCTAGCGTGTGATATGAGTGCAATTGTGCGATAGTTTGAACATTCCTTGGCATTGCCCTTCTTTGGGATTGGAATGTATACTGATCTTTTCCAATCCTGTGGCCACTGTTGCGTTTTCCAAATTTGCTGGCAAATGGAGTGCAGAACTTTAACAGCATCCTCTTCTAAGACTTTGAATAGCTCAGCTGGGATACCATCACCTCCACTAGCTTTGTTGTTAGTAATGCTTTCTAAGGCCCATTTAACTTCACATTCCAGGATGTCTGGCTCGAGGTCAGTGATTATACCGTCGTGGTTGTCAAGGACATCGAGGTCTTTCTTGTATAGTTCTTCTGTGTATTCTTGCCATCTTTTCCTAATCTCTTCTGCTTCTGTTAGGTCCCTACCGTTTTTGTCCTTTATCATGGCCAGCTTTGCATGGAACGCTCCCTTGATTTCTCCAATTTTCTTGAAGAGATCTCTAGTCCTTCCCATTCTATTGTTTTCTTCTATTACTTTGCACTGTTCATTCAGGAAGGCCTCCTTATCTCTCCTTGCTGTTCTCTGGAAATCTGCGTTCAGTTGGGTAAATCTTTCCTTTTCGCCTTTGCCTTTCGCTTTCCTTCTTTCCTCTGCTATTTGTAAAGCCTCATCAGAAAGCCATTTTGCTTTCTTGCATTTCTTTTTCTTTGGTATGGTGGTGATTGCTGCCTCCTGTACGATGTCACGAACCTCTGTCCATAGTTCTTCAGGCACTCTATCTATCAAATCCAGACCCTTGAATCTATTCTTCACCTCTACTGTATATTCATCAGGGATGCGATCTAGGTCAAACCTGAATGGCCTCGTGGTTTTCCCGATTTTCTTCAGTTTAAGTCTGAATTTTGCAATGAGTAGCTCATGATCTGAGCCACAGTCAGCTCCAGGTCTTGTTTTTACTGACTGGATAGAGCTTCTCCATCTTTGACTGCAAATTATATAGTCAATCTGATTTCGGTGTTGCCCATCTGGTGATGTCCATGTGTAGAGTCGTCTCTTAGGTTGTTGGAAAAGGGTGTTCGCTATGACCAGTGTGTTCTCTTGACAAAACTCTGTTAACCTTTGCCCTGCTTCATTTTGCTTTCCAAGGCCAAACTTGTCTGTTATTCCGGTTACCTTTTGACTTCCTACTTTAGCATTCCAGTCCCCTATGATGATGAGGACATCATTTTTTGGTGTTAGTTCTATGAATTGTATGTTGGATGTACCCCTGGCCAGCATAAATGAGCAACCAACTGGAGTATAGTGGCACTGTCACTGAGCTGTCCAATGCAACCTCAAGAGTGATTTTTTCTCTCTAAACACCTAAATTTCTCTTCATGCAACAGTTCAGCTCATAACAGTTCTGCCACAACTTCAAGGGCACATAAACCCATAGGCTGCAGTCACACACGCTAAATAATCCACTTTCATTCCACTTTCAATCCGCTGTCCAACTGGACATTGGCAGTTCACACAGTAAAAATCCAGCTGGAAAGTGCACTGAAAGTGGATTGAAAGTGGATTATTTAGTGTGTGTGACCACAGCCTATGTCTATGGTTCCTTGTCTAAGCAGACATGGTCACCTCACAGTTATTTATAGTTGAGTTTTAAACTAACAGTAAACCATATTTATTCTCCATTGACGAGCATACAGTTGAAGAGAAACCATAATCAGGATGATGCTCCAGTGAGAGGAAGTATGGAAGTTACCAGCAGGACCCAGAATGTGGATGTCATTAGAAATGTTTAATGTTGAGAAATAGACTGACATATTTCAAGCCATGAAAAACACACCTCTTATTCTGTATCGCTATTTTACTCTTTTACACAATTATAGCATAGTTCCTTGATTAATCCCAGTGGAAAAGCCTTTACAAACTGCCATCTTGTACAGCTTCACATGAAAAACAGTAAAACATACAGTGATAATATTTGCGTGTATGAGGTCCCAACTCTGATACACAGCATCTACCATTTAAGTGATCTCAAATATCATGGCCAGGAGAGATGGCCTCCAAAGATACTGGAAGCCTATGCTAAAACTATATGGACAGTTGGATCACTGGTGTTTCTCACTTTAAATTCTCTCTATATTCCCCCTATCTGAAAATGCAATCATCTTTTCTAAACCAATAATTAAAATTTTCTACCTCAACACTTATTTTCCATTTATCACAGCATCACACTGGAAATTGGTTTACTGTGTATCCAACACAGAGTGTGTGCAACGTGACCATGATTCAGGTTTTCTCTAGATGTAAGCATTTTTGATCAAAGCATATAGTAAAAATGCTGGAAATATAATTACAGAAGAATAACTAGAACAACCCCCCTTACTTATCAACAGTGAATCTGTATATGATGGTAGCAAAGATCGAGGATCAAGAAATCTAGGCTCTGGAACAAGCTCAGGATTAAGAACCTCAACACCTGGTGTTGAAGTCACTGCTGGATCTGACACAGAATCAGGTTCTAGAGGAACTGTATCTACACATTCTGACACAAAGCCCAGAGCCAAAGGTAAATATCATTCCTGAATTTGTTTTTAATTTATGTTATTACTGGGCTAAGCCTATAGTAATAGATTTTGGCACTTGGGTAACTATTTTTTCTGCTACTCTGTTGATTATCTTTGACTTTTTCTGTGGATAGTCCCATGAATAAGATTTTAGGTTTCTGATACACAAAGCCTTGTTCTGCTTCCCCAAACAACTTATTTGTTTATTTATTTCTTTATTTACTACATTAATACTCCACTTTTCTCTCCAATGGGGACACAAAGGGGCTTGCAACATTCTCCCCAATAGCTGTCCTCATAACCCTGAGAGATACCTTTGGGTGAAAGTCCAATGCTCTAAGTACAACATCATACTGTCTCACTGATACTATATGATCTACATTAAAAATATTTCTGATTCATCTGGCTATCTGCAGATATGATTGGTTTAATGTTATGCATAGTTGTCACAATCCACAAATAGGATGGATAATTAAACATTTTTGTGAGAAAGATCCTATCTTCTTACTTCTTCATGCACTTCCTGTTGCACATTAAAGCATGAAACATGGCTGCCAATTCTTCCTATGCAGACCGATCTACAGCCTTTTGTTGGTTTGGATGAGAATTCATTGTTAGAAAGTATATAAATTCCAAGGTAACATTTCCATTTGACTGCTCTAAGGAGATTAAGCAGAAAATTGTAAGTACAAATGTCATGCCAGATAATGCTCAGATGACCATGTTATAGGAAGAATCTTATTTTTATGGCCTGAAAGTAAATATATTGTTCCTATATTAGAAGCTTTTCTAACATTTATCTTTTTTTTTCATCTTTAGATCCAAAGAAAACGAGAGTAGTTAAAACAATCATCGAGGAATTAGATGAGCATGGCCGAGTAACATCTTCCAAGATCCAGTCCATTGAAGAAAACCCAGCTACATAAACATCCATATCAGGAGCATCAATGTTACCCCAATGATTTTTCAGGATGATGTTTCAGGGGAAGCACATATTTTAATTTCAGCATCAAAATACCAAGAGGCCAATGGAATTAACTACTTTAATAAGAAATCTCATATATATTCTTATCTCTTTCCTTAGTATTCTCTCACACACAGTGAAAGTGGGTTCCTGCTG